CAGCCACTGAGACGCTGGCATCACGAGTTAGTTACATTCCACACTCAAAGCAGGCATCAAACATCCAGTTAAGTTTTCCTCATAAGTTAGATGGATGCATTGGTTACTTATTTACATAGTTTCATGACAGGGAAATAAAGTGAGTTGCTAGTCCTGCCAGTGCAGTGTGAGGGGTGTATTTGCCCCCCTGACCTCGAGAAACCCTGTGCCATGTGGCCCTCGCTGTGGGTGGCTGGCAAAGAGCCATGTTGTTCTGTGAAACCCAAGTTCATCTTGAGAAGCCTTCTAACGCTATAATCTGCCAAACTGTGGCTTTAAATGAGAAATTAAAAAGAGCTTCCTCCCACTTTGTCCTGGGACAGCTGATGAACCTCTCCCCCCAGACAGGCAGGGCCGTTTTCCATTTATGGTAGGTCTGGGAAAGTTGGAGAGGGAAACTCCACTAGCTCAGCCAGAAGGGGTGAAAACATGCCTCCTGTCTCTGCAGGACCACAGCAGGTTGGCTGCAGCACATCTGCAGGGATGAACTGCCCTGAAGTTTCTGAACGCCATGTTTGGAAACTGGCATGGTCTCCAGGGTCTCAGCAGTGTCTTATGAGGTCCCTGGGCTCCAGGGTCAGACAGATGAGCATGCACTCCTACCATCCTCATGGAGGCCACATGGAGAGGACCCGCCTGGGATTTCCTGTGCCCTCTGTTGGCCTGGACACCACATGTGTGATGCCCCAGGCTGACGGGCAGGGGCCTGGCAGCTGCTCTGGTGCTGCGAAATCCACCCCTTCTTTAAAGCTGCATCAGTAACTGTTGCAATGCTATCCATTCACCTGTAGCTGGTAGGCAAGTTGCAAACCTGGGTCTCTGTCATTCCAAAGCCAATTTGTCCAAGCATTTGACCAGACTCTGACTACCAATCAGAAGAGCAAGACTTGGGCCCTCAGGATCCAGCGCATGGACGGTATAGTGGTTTCTGTGTTCTCATCAGTGTTCGTTATAAACTGTCCACCCTCTAGGCCTGGGGAATCTTTGAGTCACTTCCAGAACAAGTTTCCATTGCTAATTCTAATTGTCTTTCGATTGCCTCCTTCTTGGTTTGGAATGTCACCGCTAAGACAATCCTCTGAGGCCTGCAGACCCAGTGTGACGGGACACACGTGCAGAGATTCACTTTGGGGCTCCCTCCCTCCACGTCGGACTCCTCTGGATGGGCTACTCTCCTGTCACTGAGCTGCATCCCTAGGTCTGGGCCACAGAACAGAGAAAGGGCCCATCATTCCCCCAAGGCACGGTGTTGCAGAGAGACAGGCAGACAAAGACGCGCTCTGGGCCGAGGGGACCTGGCTGAGCCCAGCCCTCAGTGGACCTCAACAGGCAGCCTGCTTCTCAGAACATCTCCAGCAACAGCAGCACCCTCAACCCAAACGTTACGTTCTTCTCCATGTCTCCAGACCCCAGTGAACCTGCAGAGTGCACAGCACAGGTCCAGTGCTGCAGACAACAACGCTGGGATATTTGCAGGTGACTTTGGTCTCAACCTGAATAGAAGGAATTGCTTCTGGACAGGCTTATATTCCTCAAATCAGTGAGTTACTTCATTGTGCATGGCAGTTTTTAATCAACAGGGGCCTCTAAGAGGGAGACGCCAGGGGCAGGGCTCTCCACACACCTCACTCCAGGAGAGGGGAGCATAGCCAGACGGTCCAGGCTGACTTCTCAGCGGCTGCTTGGGCCTGCAGTCTTCCAGATGCACCGAAGATCCTGGCAGAACCCTGGGTGGGCCCTTTCTGATTTGGAGACCAGAATCTGATGATCCGCAAACATGTTCCTGAAATAAATGACAAATTTTCCCAAATTAAAGTACAAATATTATTTAATCCTGTTTAACCCTGACAAGAAAATTTCTTTAACGCTTAATAAGATCAATAGAAATTCATCCACAAAGATGTCGCGTCACCCCAGGGAGATGCGCCACACCACAGGATGTGGGTGACCTTGGTGCTTTAGGAGGGGTGGCCAGGAGGGGCCTGGGGTGAATCTGAGCAGATGCGCTGTGTTAGTGGCCCGGGTCAGGCTCTGACTCCCAGCGCAGGAGCCTGAGGGGGTCCACACAGGCAGGTCCTGTCCCTGCCCCCAGAGAGGGGTGCCGTGGCAGAGTCCAGGCAAGCTGACTGGGGGTGGAATGCCCAGGACAGTTGGGCGCTCTCATTCCCAAGGGAGCCATGCTGGCTTCAAGCTGTGAGGCCCTGGTTCTTACCACTTGGCTCAGTTGGGGAATCCAGTGCCTAGTGACTCAATAACTGGGGAATCCTACCCACCACGCAGAGCCCAGTCAGAGCCCCCTGGTATTCTGCAGAAGCCCTGCTCCGAGCAGACTGCGGTAAGGCTGTTCCGTCGCCAGCTGGGGCCACCGCAAGTCTGTGTCGAACTCATAGGCACTTGAACAACTCCACAACCGTGCGTGTGGTGCTGCGGGGTACCTGGTTCAGGCTCAGGCTGTGGAAGGACCTATGGCGCATGCAGCATTCAGTCCACAACAGACCTTCCAGACAGGGGAAGGGTGTCAGGTCCGCCAGGTCTCCAGAAGGACTGGCGCAGCGCTGAAGAAGAGGGTGCTGTCGTCCTGTGCTCCCTGTGTGTGACAAGGCCCGAGCTCCAGGTCTGCCCATAACTCTCCAGGGCGTGCCGTGCATTCTGGGGGCACTAAAGCAAAAACTGTCTTGATTTCTCCTGGGATCCTTGGTGTTTACCAAGTGAAAAGGGAGAGTGACAGAAAGATTCAGAGAAAGGTTAATTCCCACACGGGGCACATTGTCAAATGGGTGAATGTGATTTTTGTTGTAAAAGAAGAACCTCATAACAAGAGGAAGCTGACCTCTGATATTAGCTTACCCTACATTTCTTTGTGTAAGATAATGAACTTCTCTGAATTTCTGCCTCTTGATCTAATTTATAAAAATGATGAAGCCTGCCTCTCCGGAGTAGGAGCGCCATGAACACTCTGCAGCCCCAGACAGTGATGTCTTGCGCTCAGCCGGGCCTCAGCTGTGGGCAGCCAAGCATGGGCCAGGCCCCAGTGGACAAGGACAGAAGGGGATGCCTGGGCTCTGTCATCTGAAGCCAGGGTGGGGCGGTTTTCACTGTCCTTTATGGTGTACTAACTCGACCCGGGAAATTAATAGCTCACTCCGTTTCTCTGCAAGACATTGGGTTTGTGGGCCGTGCTGGTCCGGGAGCCCGGGAAAGGGGGCTGGCAGCTGCTGGGGTGGGCGATGAGATGCCCCTCTGAGCAGCTCCTTCCGTGCTATTGGATATGCTGTCAGACACGGCTCCGACTCCCTTACACGCCATTTGTCAGTGTTGGGGAAGTTTGCAAAAAGACTTCCCACATGCAAAAGGACTTGTAGAACCATGCTTCTGATGTTGGGTTTCAATGCAAACCAGCAAGAAATCTGCAGACTTCACCAGGACGTTCCATGTTGAGGACCCTTGCGAGTGTGCTGCTCATCATGAAGACGAGGACGGAGGCTCGGGAAAGCGGGGCACTTCCGCTGCACACAGCCAAGCTCAGCACACATGGGTGTGCACCTCCCGCCCCGGGACGACTGGCGTGCGCACATTAAAGCTAAAATAAAGCCGCAGAAGAGTGGAAATCGAAAATTAAATATTTAATTAGAACTCTGATTTGCTTTAAAGATAGGTGGCATTGCACAGGCTATGTTACACTCTCTTTATAATGCTTTGACAAAAAAGATACTGTTCATTTAACAGGCCACTTGAATATTAATACGTGGGTAATAGGACTGGAACTGAAAATCAGCTAGAGATGGTACATTTTACGTTATTGGGAAAATTACAGTTTGTATTGTAAAAACATTTATTTTTTTAACAATTTACCTACATTAATCAAAAAATTACAGCATATTTAATAATTTTACAAATTCTTCATAAAAAATATATCTCTGTACAAAAAGGACTTTTGCACCTACTTGGTGACAGCAGCGTGGGCGGCGGGGCGTGGTGGTGCGTTGGGTTCCTGATCCTGACGCCGGATTTCTTTCCCCTTTTTATAACAGCTTTTTATGTTGGTGTTTACAAAATATTTTACAGAAGAGAAAAATTATTGCAGCTAGCCTGAAGAAAGGCGAGATGTGGGGGAAAAGCGGCAGTGTGCACAGCTGTGAAGCCCGGACTGCGCCCCAGCCGCCCACTCTGCGCTCCTGGTGGGCGGTGTCTGCGGACCGGAAGGGGGCACGGGAGACACCTCACACACCTGGGAGGGACGGGCTGTCCTCCCCGGAGCTCCGCACCTGTGGTGGGGGCAGACAGCTAGCTCCCACGGGCCTTGCACACGCGGGACTCCATCCTAGGCTGACATGTGGATTCCTGTGTGTGGGTGCATCCAGCACTGCAGGACACACCTGTCATTGACCAGCAAGCAAGGCGGGGACGCGGGACAGGGAGGCGATCAGACTCTCAAGTCAGCAGTTTGCACCTCGTCGGAGTGACACACTTAGATATGTACAATATATATATGTGTGTGTGTGTGTATATACACCTACTGTATATGACCCTGTTCTCCCTTGCACACCACGGACCCCTAACTCCGTCCGCTGCTGTCCATATCGGCTCACCATGTGTTAGGGGGTGGCTCCCACGGAGCTCACCAAATGGGCCCAGCAAGGCTAGGGAAGGGTCCCCAGGGCGTGCTCTGCCGAGACAGTGTTGGAGTTCAGTACAGCACCGTGGAGCCCAGCAGCGTGGACTCAGGCACAGGTGTCACCAGGGGGGGGCAGGGAGTCCCCTGGCAGCTGGTGCCCATCGAAGGAGACAGGGACACGGCCTACAGGACACTCAGAACAGAGTGTGGACTTCCAGAATTGGCTGGTCTCCTGGCAGGCTCCTGGTTTCCCTGTCACTTGCAGTTCCTGCACTCACAGCCGCCTGCTCCCATCCTGATCTAGGAGTGAGCATCCTCACATAGCAAACCAAGGCTGGCTATGTCTGGTGCTCCGCGGAGCAGGTCTGGGATGTGCAGGGGGACCCTTCATGGTGTGGGATATGTACCTCAGCATCAAATAACAAAATAAGCGTATCTGTTCAAAAATACCTTTATCAAACAATTATAAATAAAAATAAACATGATCTTCACTTCAAATTTGTTACAGAACATTCTCGTGGTCACCACTATCCATGTGTTTAAAATTTTATCTGCTTGGGAAGCACGACCTGTTTGATTCATTCCATGCTGCATAATCTGCCTATAATGAGCTGTAAGCTCACAGAATCACGGAAATGCTCCTCTGTCTGGAACTCCAGAGCATGAAACAAAAGGATAAAGTAGATGATCATGAGAGGAGAGCGTGTGATCTTGCCTTTCCTCCAGAGGGACATTAGTTCAATCCTAGACAGCTCCACTGAGATGAGGAGGGACTGAGGTTGCCATCTTTCAATGCAATAGCAGGGGGCGACGTCACAGAAAAAGAAAGGAAACAGTGACATAAAAGAGAAGGCTTGGCTATGAGCTAAAACCCACAGGTCCGTGAGCTACCTAAAATAAATTACTATTCACATCTGTACATTGCAAATGGAAATCGTGACCAACTGCCTGGCAGGAAGTTGTACATCAGACACAATACCCTGGCCACGATGACCCGAAAGGAAGCAAACATGGAAAGTGAAAGGCCTCTGTTGTTCTTGTTGGACATCTCCAATGAATTTAAAAATACATGTAGCTAGTAGAAGCAATAACAAAATAAATTTCTTTAGTACTGCTTTTCCCCTTAAAGTCTGTCCCGGGCGTGTCCAGGTACTCTGTTCCTTACACTCCAGCTGAACCGATGGTGGGATATGTGGCCGACACTATGAAGGAGGCTTATATACAACATATACTGTGTATGAACCCTGTGTGAATAGTTTTTATTTTTAGAATCTTACTCAATCATTCATAACACCCTAGTGCAAAAAATTGTGCATCAAAAATTCTGCAATAGAACAGCTGGCTGGGAAACTGGCGACTGTCCCTCAGGGTGAACGTTCGGGAGCCGTGAGGTCCTCAAAGCTTGCTGGGTCTCAGGAAGGACAGAGTGAAGCTCTCGTAGGCGTGTGCGTCTGTTAGAAAGGTGTCTTCAAGAAAACTTTCTTTTTCTCTTCGGGCGTCCGTGTCCGTGGGGGCTCCAAGGAAAATTAACACACGGACGGTGGTGCCCCTGTGCTGTCACCGTGCCCAGAGATGCTTCCGCGTGCCCCGAGGTTGCATGGAATGACACCCAGCCACAGAGAGACCGGGAGTCTGAGGCGCGGAGCTCGCGTGTCACGGCACTCAGATTTCTCCCCGGAGCATGCCTGGGTCCCAGCGGACGCGTTAGAAATCCACGCTTTCGGTCTGGGCCTCAGGAGACTGCTGCGCGGAGTGGGAGTAGGGAGGCTCCCGCCACGTGGACCCCAGAGGACGATGGACGAGGTGCTGCGGCAAAGCAAGGGTAGAAGGAAGTTGGTCTATGGCACCAGAGGAGCGGCTGCTTGTCCTTCAGAGGTATGGCTGTGAGTCAGCAGCGTCCAGGGCTATACCACCGTGCACACCGTGTTCAGAGTCGTGTCAAAGCGCACGGCCTTGGCTTCTGTGGGCTTTAAGTTCGTGTCGTACATGGGGTTTTCAAAGGAAGCTTGTCCGTTGCTGTTTTCGTGTCCAGCATAGCCATTGTACTGAACTTTTGGTCTTGTTCTAGAGGGAGGGGAGAAGCACAGTTAGCACTGACTGCAGCAGCAGGCGCATTTAGAGCCAGGGCCGCGTGGGGACCCAGCCGGCCGCCAGCATCGGGGCGGAGGCAGGACAGCATGGACATGGGCGAGGCTTTCCAGCTGGGCTAGAATTACAAACAGGGCTTAAAAATGACAGCAACTTCCAAAATCAAAGCATTATCTGTGTGTTCCAGGGTTCTCCTAAGGAATCAGGAAGTTCAAAGGATGCAGTCAGGTGGATGTGGGAATGGGCGCCCTTCTACGGCTGCTAAGCCGCGGGTGAAGTCTCAGAGCTTTTCCTTTCTCTGCAAAAGGGCCGAGCAGCAAGGCGACCGTACTTCAGGCTGCCTGCTCTTCAGGGTTAGACTGTCAGCTTCCAGGCCCAGCACTACCGACATGTCACTACCTTGTGTGACATGATGTCTGGTGAGTTAGAAATGAATGTTTATGGAAAGAAACCGTATTGTTATTAGGATGTCTTTTTATTTTCTGATCAAAGGAAGCCTCTAGCATATAATCTAGGATTTGAGCATTAGAGGATTTTAGACAGAAAAGATCTGATCGTATCTACTCTGGCTGATTTCTTTTTTATTGCAGAGGAATAAATTACATAAGAAAATAAAGCAAGCATTAGAAATAGAATCCTGTCAATAAGTACACTGGCACAAGTATCTCTTAATACCTGATGTAAAGAAACGTTTGGTTGAGTGGTTTACTAGTCAGTTTTCTCAAGGTGCAATCTGTTCATAAGAAAAAGACACAGGAGACATGGGTGCCTCCGAACACCTGTCCTCTGACTGCCAGGGGACAAAGGACCTGGGGCAGCCAGACCCAGGGAGGCCTGGCCTCCTCCACAGGGCAGAGCCGGATCCAGCACACAGGGATGGGTGAGGAGGCCACTGGCTCAGGGTCCAGGCCCGGGAGGATGCAGAGGACCCGGTGGGCCAGAGAGATGACAAGGTGGGAAGGTGCTGCCACGGGCTAGGCCCTTCCCTGGGGTGGGGAACGATGAGATGAGCGGTCAGACTTATGAGTCCCTAGCATCTAGTCGCCCGGGCCATGTTACCTGGACCGACACGTGAAAAAGACGTGCCTTTAGTTTGCGTCCCCGTAAGAGAAGCACTTCAGGAACAGCGTCAGACTGGACAAGCCGGTGAGGTGACGCTGAGCTTTACTAAGTCACACCGGCGGGGGAAGAAACTCAAGGGCAGGTCTCCTAGACCTGTGTACATGGGATAGTTTTCTTCAAGATAAAAAGTATTAGTGCAGGTTCACTTTTTCACTTTTTTCTTGGTACTGGGGATTGAACTCGGGTCCTTGCACTTGTGCAGCAGGCGGCGAAACCACTGAGCTAAATCCCCAGCCCCATTCAGGATCTATCTTTTCACTTTTAATGTCTATTTATTTCTTGGGTGCCAGGGAGTGAACCAGGGCCTCTTTAATTCTGTAAATGCCACCTCAGCTCAGTCATCGGGTTATGGGTTTAAATACCAGCCTTGCATATCACAGGCAAAAGAAGACAGGCGTACAGCAGGTGATGCGGTATGAGTCTGGAGGATCATTAATGCCATTTTATATATTTTAAAGTAAGAAAGCACATATTTAAAGAAGCTCTGTCATAGGCACTAAAAGTATTGTGTCCACACTAGTTTTGTTTTTAACCAGGATTAAGTGGAAATATGTACATTATAGAAACATTTGGCCCAGTTAAGATACTTGAACATTATTCCAGGGATCATAATAGTTTGGCAGTATTTGTAGGGAATGTGATTATTCAAAATTGTATTTTAGAGCAATTTGGAAAATTCCTCCAAAGGATGTCATAGGACCCTGTAATTCCTCCACAACTATTTTTTTGTATCCCAGTTAACCCCAAAGAAAACATCTATTCCATAAAAGTTGTTTTGCCCAATTACTTTTCAGTTGATAAGACTTTGCAAATAAATATTCAGAACAGTTTTGCAAGGGATGGGACATATTATTTAGTGCATATTAAAATGTCAATTTTTATCTGTTGAAAGGATGAGTCAGTCAAACTGCACAAATCAGAGACTGAGTTAAAAGCAGCCCCGTGAACACGCTGTCCTCCTCCTGACGGGCGGGGACACGGCTCAGCCTTCACCTCAACCACACACAGATTCTCCCCAGGCCACTTGCTCAGGTGCGCCCTGCTGCCAGAGTTAGACAAACACACATGAAGGCCAAACTGCCACTAAGACCCCGAGCACATGCTTAATTCCAGAGTGAATGCTGCACAGCAGTGCAAGGGACAGGTGCGTGTGAGTGGGAGCAACCAGACCACCCACCAGAGGCCCCAGACCACTGGCGCTGTGCAGTACCTGTGTTTGTAGAGGTAAAAGGCAAATCCTGATAAGATTAGAGCAAAGAAGGGAACCAGGATGGCGGCTGCCACCGAGCCGCTGCTGGTGCCGTGGTAATGATTTGAAGGGTCTTGATCAGGGTCTGTGGGATCTGGAAGAGAAGAAGAAGATTTCTTTTGTAGGTATTGTCCTCTGCTTAAACATGATCATTTCATAAGTAAATCATATTTTATAAGTAAATGCTATGAGAAGTAGGAGGCTCAGTTCCACAGGGAGCCAACTGGAACTCCTTTCCAAAGATTTTAATATCCAGTTTAATGACCAAGATAAAAAAGCAAACCTCTGATTATTCTTTGCTAATACTCAACAATCCTATGAAAGAGTCTCCAATTTCCAATGCCTGAAAGGTGAATGGGTCACTAAACATTTTGACTCTTGTTTTTAGTTACTGATATTTTTATTCGCAAAAAATCTAACAGAAATCAGCCTTTGTCCATATACAGAAACCAGTAGTAATGGTTCTTTCTTCCTGCCTTAAGGCCAGACTTTGCAAAATATCAGTCACTGAAGTTATGCGAAGATCCCAGTTTTCTATGTAACAGGTGTGAATCCTCTGCATGTGAGTATATAAATGTTATTTGCTTTTATTTTAGGTCTATTCCAAAATTCAGCAGGTCACTTAGAAATCCTGGAAGGAGAACCCAGGAGGGGCCAGGACGCACACTCGAAGTGGAGACTGAAGATGCTAAGGCACACTGTCTGCCCACCAGGAGGGAAGGCAGGTGTGAGCACCCCACATGCCACAGAGGGCCAGTCCTTGACGAACAGGCTGTACCTGCAGGGAGACACTTTGAGTCCTGGTGGCACAGGTAGACGCTGGAAATTCACAGGAACAAACATTTATACAAGAGTGTTTATTACCAAAGAAGGAGGCTGGCTATTGAGCCTACTTAGGAAGTAGGATTTTGAAGTGTATGTGCCTAATTGCATGGAGTCACTTAATGCATACGTATAATGAATCATGACTGAAGCTGTCTGAACTTAGCAGACTTGTGGACAAGCTGGTCTAGTTTTTAAAAGTACATTTCCAGAATTTATAAAATGTCTAATTGAAAGAGATGCCTTGTTTATTTTTAGAAACCACAAATGCAAAGGAATAATGAAATATTTAAACCTTAAAATACGGTTTATATCAAAATTCTGGAATTTTCACATACCTTTGAGGTGATATATTTTCCCTTTGTTTCAACAGATGCATGGCTATTACCATTTCTCATTTCACAGTTGGATGTGGATTTGTAATGGATCTGACCTTTTGCAGTTTTCCTCCCAGGCCGTCATGCAGGGAGGGTTTCTGAGCGCCCGGGACAGGCATGGGGCTGTTCACCCCTGGAGGCTTCTAACCAGCCACTGGCTTTGATGAGAGATGCTGGACCACAGAGGCTCAGCTTGTGTCCCCACGGCTACCTGGGGCCCAAGCCTGGGGTCCAGAGCAAGTGTCCCCTGTGTTCCAGCCAGGACAGCAGCTTCCGGGGCAGAGGGCCAGCAGTGGCAGCCAGTGACAGGGTGTCAAGGTCCAAAAGCAAGAGCATTGGTCCCCACTCAAAGGGTACTAACCTCATAACTAAGAACCAACCAAATCAGTGCATCTCAGGTACTTAGAGAAAAGCCCAGCCTGTGACCCATATTGGCGAGATCCACGTTCCCTGGTGAGGGGTTCTCTCCGCTGGCTTCCTTCCTGCACCCTGGAGCCCGCCCTGTAGTCAGAGCCCAGGGTGCCCAGGATTTGGTTCCAAAGGGGAGGGAAGTTTCTACCTTGGCAATACCTACACACTCCAGTACCCTTCCATTTCCTTTAGTAACTCTGATCATCATGACAGAGAACAACGCAGAGGAAGATGTTTATGACTCAGAGCCAGACTCACTCTGAAATGAGTCTGTTAGTTTTTTTCTCTCGTTGCTGAGACAAAATACCCAACACCCAAAGTTGGAGGGGAAGGGGTTTATTTAGCTCACAGTCTGTAGAGGCTTCAGTCCATCATCGGCTGGCTCCAAGGCAGGGATGGCAAGCAGGCCTTGCAGAGGAGAAACAGCATGGCGCACACAGGACAGCAAAGGTAACAAGGGACCTCCACCGATGCGTCTTTCTGCCCTGTTATCTTATTCAGACTACAGGGTGAGGGCGATGCCAAACCAGTCACTCCTGTGTACTGATTCAGTGACCACACGCCCTTAACCCAGCATCACACAGATTCAGCACCTCTGACCAAACAGAGTCTACATCTGAGGCTCCAGTCCATTCCAACTTGACCCTGTTTGAATGGTCTGAGGGGTAATCCAGGGGCCAACGAAGCTGCCCTGCCCTGAATGCCAGTCTTACCCTTTATGGACAACAGGCTGCTTTAAATATCCTTCCCTTGATATACTATATCTGATTATTTACCTTTTCTCTCTTATACATAGTTCTAAAAGTCAAAAAGACCATATGTTCACTTTTTATGCAGTCTTTCAACTTTAGCCATACATTTCTGAGGTCCTTCCATGGGCACATATGAGAGAGATTTACTCTTCTAAAGTGTATAGTATTTTACTGGTGGATATACCAGAAACCATCAGCCAGTCTACTGCTGCCACACATTTCAGCCACTTCCTGTCTTTTCTATCACACTGCAGTGAGATCCTGTCTCTGTCCTGCAGGGTGGGTGTGAAGCTTACACGGGCTAAATTCGAAGTGGAATTTCTGCCTGGCGGAATTTGCACCTTTGAGTGTTGCTATCTCTGGCCGAATCTCTCTGCACTGCTGCCCAGGCATGTTCCAGCCTCATCTCCCGAGGGTCATCGCAGAGGCACCTGGGGCGTGGGGCACTGTTTACCCCCTGCTGCTGCCCTGTCCCCACTTCTCTCCTGCTCCTGCTGTGCCTCCCAGTGCCAGCCCTTCTCAACACCATCAGTACTGCGTGGGAAGTCACCGTGCTCCGCACAGTGTGCGTCCGTCGCCTGAGAATGAGGACCAGCATCTTTGCCCGTGTGATAGGCGAAGCTTTTCAATTTCTAAAAGGCCAATTCTTGTCAAAAGAAATGCACATCAGACACAGTTCACACACATCACTGCACACAATTTGAGGGTTCTTCAGAACATCTACAGATGTATGATCACCATGGTCTGACTGAGACCCCAAAGAACCCTGAAATTCCTCAGCAGTCACTCCTCATCCAATCTCAAGCCCCAGATCATGACAAACCAACTTTCTCTGTAAGTCGGCCTGTTCTGACATTGCGTATAAAGGAGTTATGCCACAGACGGCCTCCGGCCCTTAGCCCCGTGTTGGCAAACAGCACTCATATTATAGTGGGTATCTGTGTTCTGTTCCTTTTCAATGTTGAGCAACTCCTCGTAGAGATCTGCCATGTTTCCTGTATCCACTGGTTGACAGAAACTAGTGTTGTTTCCGCATTCGGGCTATTGAAGCAAAGCTGCCGGGAACATTTGTGTGCAAGCATTTGTGTGAATGCAGTTGCAGTCCTCTGGCTGGACATGGAGGTGTGGGATAGCCAGGTCTGTGGAAATCATGCTTGATGGTTTTGTGGACTGCCAGACTGCTCTCCACAGTAGCAGCTATACCACCTTACACTAACGGGCAAAGTCTGGCTTCTGTCTCCTCACCATCCTTGGCCATGGCAGTTCCGGTTTCTGACACTGATCTCCAAAGGCCTGCATGGGGTCCCTGGTGACAAACATGCTCCCCACTGCTCGTGGGCTCACTGGGCATGTGCACACCTTCAGAGCAGAGTCAGTTCAGACCCTCTGCCTTGTTGTTGCTTATCTGTCTCAGTACTGTGGAGTCAGGAGTCCTTTATTCAGTCTGGATGCAAGTAAATTATCAGATTCATGATTTTCACAGATTTTCTGTCATCTTGAGGAGGAGGAATCATTCAATTTTAATGGGGAAAGCAATTTATGTTGAGTTTCTTACACAAGTTTTCCATTAAGCTTGTCTTTCAAATTAACTGGATTTCAGTGTTCATTGAATGATAACCAACTTTTTTTTCCAGTTTATCTACTGACTGAAGATAATTAAGACATGGTCTATTTTTATCCATAACAATAGGTTTTAGCCACCACTGCTGAACGAATGATGGCTTCTGAAGCGTTAAACACAGTTCCCTAAATAGATGGATCTGAGCCTGGCGTGGGATTCAAATGATTTTGTGAAGTAAATTGTTTTTCCTGACAGTTAACTCATGATCACAGGACAAGGAAGATTACTTATTAGCACAAGCTGGTGTTTCACTGGGTTAGAAAGAAATCGGGTAATGCGAAGGTTTTTTGCCACCCTCAGAGTGATGGTTCTGGTCATTTCATTGGGTGAATAAACTTCCACATCCACCCACTGTCCTGAAGTTACCAGGGCACATGCTGCAGGGAGAAAGGAGCCAAGCAACTGTGGATTCTGCTCAGAGTGAAGGAAAACCTTCCCCGCAGTTAGTGTCGGCCCGAGTGAGTGCATTCTATTCTATAACTAGAGCTAACATCATCCACTTTGAAGCACTAGCTCAGCCATTGCTGAAATAATTTAAAGGTCTTCTCCTTAATGGTGCTGAGTTTGGAATGATGAAGGTCGGGCATTTATGATTCATTTTTTTTCTGGGTCCAAGTGGTCTGTTTCTATAAAGAGTGTTGATATACAGGTTGGTGACCAGTCATGCAAAGAAGTCCTGTGCAAAGCGCTCGCTCACCAGTGATAAGCATTGCATGGTTCTACTTCCTGTGCCTCTGGAGGGCCCTGGGACCATAGTCATGTGGCAGTCGTCTTGTTCTTAAAGTCAACACGTTAGTAGCATCCCGAGAATAAAGTGTAAAGGAATTCAACATTTTCAGGAGGATTCTGATCACAAAAATGTTTGTAATGTAGGCTATGTTACCACGTTCTTGAGCCATTTAGGAAGGCACAATACAGACCTCTGGTTGTTCAGTAAATAAAGAAAGTGCAGGGCTTACTCCGTGCGTGTGAAAGCCCTCTCCACCAGAAGTCACTGCACGGGAGGGAGGGACATCCGGTGACTGTCTCCTTGTATTTCCTTCTCTATCCCAAAGATAAAAATAGGACGGTGGAGAAAGATGCAAAGAAGGAAGGCAGGTCTCTGTCTGTCTAGAGGAAACTTCTTCCTCAGGCAGGTCACGGGCATCTCTCCACTCCACATGCAGTCCAGAATCCCGGAGCCTCAGTCTGAATCAATGGTTTCCTATTTAATGCATTTCATTGGGGAACATTGTTCACTGAAGCAATTCCTTCATGACAAATGTGTTAAGTGTACAAGTTACTTGACAGTCTTGATACAAACTTACCTGAATATCGCAAAGGACAATTTTCTATTTCTCTGACTAAAATTTTAAGAGAGGATTCTTGGATGGAAGAGGACTGCAGAGCTGTACGTGTCTGCTGTACCACCACCAAATTACAATCCTGGAGTCTATTCTAACAACACAACTGTTTTGTAAAACTTTGCCGTTCCAATAACTAAAAGTATTAAGTTTGCTGTCATGTGTGTGTGTGTGTGTTTTGAAGATCTTTCATAGGTTTACTTGTCACTTTTTAATTACTTTGTTTTTCAACTTTTAACAACTCAAGTTTTCTGAGAGTAGTAGAGTTCACAAAATTTTAAATTTAACTCCATCTTTGTTTTTCATCCTTACTTTTAAATACTTCTTGGTAGAGTCACGGGGACATTAGTTCTCTGCTTAGTACATGCACTGCACTGTTCCCAGCTTTTTGTCCATTTTCTTTTCAAAGGAATCTGTTTTCACCCAGTCCTAAACCCACCCACCCTTCCTGTCCCTGTGCCAGTTTCTTTCGGGATTGCACCCTTTCCACGTCTTCCCAGCACCATCATTTGAAGGACAAATTGAGATTCACCTTAAAAAGGTCATGAGGACAGCTCACCTTGCCTCTCCAGCTTGAATTTCCCGAAGTCCTTCCCATGTATGTCGCCTTGAAAAGTGAATCCTCCCCTCTCCAGTCCCGAGGACACCTGGTATGCAGGAAAAGGGAGAGACCCTGTGAGAGGGAGAGTTGTAAACTCTTCTTTCACCCCAGGGTAACCCTCAGGGCTCAGATTTAACGGCATGGGCTCCACGTTGCATGGCTCCAAACTCCTCTGGGTGAAACATCTACAGTTGAAAACTGGAGATCAATACAGAAGCGAACCTCAAGGAACTTATGCAAATGCCCCTAAATGGCAGCACATTTTGCTAGCGCCACAAGGCAGCTGCCCTCCTGAGGTAGACCCCACCCGAGTCCACGAATTCCCTGTGTCACAGCCCCCGGCCTGCGTACCCTGTGTGAGGCTGGGTGGCCCTGTCAGAGGGAGTTGGACACAGGTAATGCCCCTGAAGAGACTGGGGGTGTTCCCCCTCCCGCGGTCACGGGGAGTGGCTTCTGTGGAACCCTCAGCCTGTTTCCCAGGGCTGCAGAGCACTGCTGCTGCGGACGGGGACTAGAGGCAGCCCGGCGCCCTCGCTGATTTCTCTCTGGGGTCAGAGGCTGCTCCCCGCTGCTGTGCAAGTGGGGCTGATGTGCTGTTGGGCTCGCTGTGTCCCCCAGGGGCAGGTGCGCCTCCTCCGCTGGGACCTCCAGAGTTGGCCCGCCCTGGCCCCAGAGAGCGAGGAGACCCACGCTCTGTCCCGGCTGCTGCCGAGCACTTACATAGCCATCCAGGCCCCAGTTGTCGTTCTCAAACTTGCTCACAAAGATGTCCACCTGGCCCTTCATCTGAAAAGCTTTCAGCAGCAAATGAGCCTCTTCCTTCTTATAGACCCCTGCGAAGAGATCACAGTGCTCAGTCCCTGCGGCTGCACCTGTCCACGGCTCGGAGCCCCGAGGCTTCATTCGTGTGCCTTTCCCTGCTGAATACCCGAGCTCCCTTCTCGTCCCTGTCTGTGGGCGGGTCTGTCCTGAGTGGGTGTGGGCCTCACCCCACAGGAGGGAGCAGAGGGCCCCGTATTCAATTCTGCCACTGAAAAGACCCTGCACTTCGCACCGGGTTTTCATTTGCTTCTGAGGACAGGAGTGAGTAGGAAAAGCAGCTCAATACCAAAACTCAAAACGCAGCTGCTTACAGAGCGGACCTGCGCCATGGCCCCAGTGGGGCAGAGTGGCCCAGGGTCACACCTGCGAGTGCCCTTCCGGGGAGCTGCAGGGGAGGAGGCCAGGAGGCACCTGGGGTGAGCAGCGCGTGCGGTTACTCCCCACTGAAGCGGGATGTAAATAAACACGCAAACAGACAGTGAACAAATGGTGCTGCACCACTGTGTCCCGCGCAGGGAAAGCAGGAGGTTCAGGGCAGTGAGCAACCGAAGCACAGCAAAGTGGAGGACCAGGAGGTTTCCCTGGCCACTGAGGAGGGAACGCGCTGCCCGGACCAGGAGGAGCTTGGGGCCGCCGGCTCTCAGGGCAGCTCCCTGTGCCACCTACCCACCGCTCCCGACCCGGGGACCCTCCTGACCTCTGCAGCTCCACCCCAGGTTCTGCAGCTCAGGCAGAGGGAACCTAACGGGCCTTCCAGGAGTTTAACTCGGATCAGGCAGCAGACCAGGGCGCAGCGTGGCAGGCCTGGAGCAGCACCTGCTCCTCTCCCTCCTCACCGAGGCACAGCCCAAGGCCTGCGCCCCCTGGGGCCGACGGGACCCCTCCCCCTTGACACGCTTCCCCAGGTGCTCCCGGATCCCCACACTGACCCACAGGGTCCCTAGCCCACAGCCCCCTGCAGCATCTCCTTTAGGGAGGAAGAATTTGGGTCCCTGATGAGAAGAAGTATCCAATCCACTTGGGTGAGACTAAGGAATTTAAACAATGTAAAAAGTTCCCCAGCGCATCCTGATGCACAGCTAGATTTTAGGCTCTGGCTGAGCTCTGGCGCCCTCAGAAACAGCTGTGTCCACTGCCAGGGGAAGGGCTGCTTCCCCTCGTAAGGGCACAGGGAGGAGTGGAGCCGCCTGACCTGGGGCCACAGACAAGGCCGGTACCTGCCCCTCGTCAGTGACACAGGGGTGACAGTGGCATCTCTCACTACTCAGACCCAGGGCTGTGTCTTGCGGTGAGTCTGGGGGAATTCCAGACCTTAGGGAGTTAGGAAGGGACTGTGCAGCCACAAGAGCTGCGGTGATTTTAAAAATCACTCAAAAGACGTGAAGTTGAGGGCTTCTAGTGTGGGCTCAAGATTCTCATTGCTGAGTTCAAATCTTTCCTCCACACATCACACAGCCTTCGGTTGTTTCCAAAAACTTTGGAAAGTTGATTGATTTTCTCAAACTGACAGTCTTTCTGTTCCTCTTTCTAAAAATTCATTATAATACACAATAGGGGAACTTAACTCCTAGGAGTTCCGCAGGATTGAAAGAGATAATGCACGTGAAGTGCTTCAGATACAGGTCTGCCACGTAAACCCGAGCTTGCTGCATTTCTCACACTGTCATGTTATTAATTCAGGAGGAATACATGAGCTAAGCTAGAGGACTCGAAGAACAGCTTGGGAACAGAGTGTCTGAATATAAACGCCAGACCCTCACTCAGTGGCATGCACAGAATCTGGAGGAAATTCCTCCGCTTTTCTGGGCTGGTTCTCAGCCGCCAGGAGGCTCAGAGCCTGAGCCCCACGGCTGTGAGGAGCACCGTGCTGTGTCCCCAAAGCAGGAGTGAGTGACCTGGGAGGGAAGACAGGGGGCTCACCTGTCAGCTCTAGCTGCACCTGCGGGGCTGTCCTGAAGGTCACGTTCACCTTGCTGCTGGTCCTGTCGATCCAGTCAACAGTCAGAGTTGCAGGCTGTCTCTTGCCTAAATATTCATAATACCCTTTCCACACTGAATTGACGGAAAATACATCGGAAGGAACTGTGGGAGGAGGGGATAGACGGGCATTAGGGCAAACACAGTGCGAAGTGTAGACAACTTCAACTGCAGCAAGCATAGACAGCCCTGTTCAGGGAGTGCGGGCCACGCAGTAACCTGGTGCACTGTCCCCTCCTCAGGTGTGGAGGCCCAGGAGAAGCAGGCAGGGCGATGACCACGGCATGCACGTGGACATCCGTGCTGCCGGGAACGCATTTCAGAGGCAGGTGCACCTCCTGCAGGGGCCAGGGGCCATGGGGAACAGTTTTGCCAGAGCAGGCTGGTAGTTACTGTGCTCCAGAGGAACAGACCGAGCCCTGGACTTACATGGCTGCCCGGGACATCCAGGTCTACACTGCAGAAGCACAGGGTGCTCATGAGGGCTAGGCAGGTCATCGGTCAGGACCCTTCTCCTCCACAGGCCCAGGTCGGGCTGGGAGGCACAGGCTGCCCTTTGTCCAGGGCGCCTTACCAGCCTCTCTCTCCCGGTCTCCACGGTCTCCTCCTTGGGGAAGCTGCCCGTCGTCAACACGCGCACATGCGGCCCCCATAACTGTCCCTTTGTACACGCCCCTTAGATTCAGACAGGAAAGTCACAGTCTTTTCAACATGTAAGGTGTTTCTGGGGCAGCAGTATGTGCAGGTTACTGAGATATTTTCTCCTGCATTCACTAACTTACGGACAGAATTAAATTTGTTTTCCACATCTCTGCTAGTAATTGTGTATACAATGTGAACATTTTCACAATACTAATTTAAGGTGCATAGCATGATGAGCAAATAAATCTAAATCAATGGCTCCACTGAAGTTCTCCTTCTCTCTGCCTCCCGAGGTGAGCAGGCCATTTACTCAGACACGATCCTCGGTAAGTAGGATTGGTCCGGGCACTTTGAGTTGCTAGGTAAAGATGAAGATTTGTTTTGCCCTAAATATGTGTTTCTAGGTAATCCAGGGAAAGTGGTGATGGTGGAGTCTCAGGCAGTGTCCCCGGGCCACAGGTCCCTTTCTGCCTGAATGGTCGTCCCACGGGGGCCCAAGAAAAGCAGAGTCAGTGGCTTCCCATGCCTTTGAGAAGCCCCAACTGGCTGACAAAGATAGCAAAAGTAATAAAATTGGGTAAATTGAAAACTGATAAACCAACACTGGCTTACAAATAGCTGACACATCAGGCACTTGCTTATGAATTACTGACATCAAACACTTTCAGTCAACAGCAGTGGCTGTAGAGAGGCCCTCACTGTAATTGGGACCCCAATTAAAATGCTTTCATTTAGAGGCTAAAATGAATAGCTACGTCTACCTGCTTTGCCCAGTGAGAACACACACACTCAGCTGAAGATCTTAAGTGTGTGCTCGGCTCCTTGCTGAATCACGCTCCCTATGCGCTGCAGTAATGGGCCTGCCTCACTGGGGAGATGAGGTATCGCCGGCTTAGAGTATGACCACTAGTCAGGGGGTGGGGGTCATCCTTCCGGGTCCTGGCATCTGAGTGATTGCTGGTAGTGCCAGTATAAGGTGGCAACAAACGGTTGATAAAGAACCACATCTAATTAACACTTCTCTTCAGAGAGAGGTAGAAAGGACACACTGATAACAGCACATGGGCCTATGAGAAGCATTTGCAGAAATTGCAGTATTTCAAACAGGAAAGCAGCAAATAAAAACAGAAAAAGAAACACAACAACATCAAAAACAAACATGTTTTCTTCCATTGAAGAAAGTGTTGCCTGGGTAATGATTTCTGTCGTTTGTTTTTGAGTAATATCTAAAGAAAACAGTTCATAAATATAAAAGGTTTTATTCTTCATTGTGTATTCTGGAGAGATTTCTCTGATTGTGTTGGTACATTTTGCCCCATCTAAGAATTAAATGTGTAACACAGCATTCTGAATTAATAGCATTGCAAATATTATTTCTATATTGATGCTAAAATAGAGTTTTATGTCTAAGAATCCTGGGTTCAAATCCAAACAAGAAAAATGCTAGTCAAGTAACATCATTTATTTATAAAGTTTACTATTTCTGGTTTAAAAAAAAGACAGTCGGCTTAAATTAATATAATTTAGGGATACATTCTGTTATTTAAATAGTATCCAAATTCATGCCACGGGTCCGCTACACCAGATGATTTCTGGTATGGAAATTCACCCTAGGAGCAGGGATCCACCCTTCTGATGCCTTTAGCAAGGCCTCCCAGACTCGCAGGCCCATGCCAGCCCTTTAGATGGATGGCTGAACCAGAGACATTGGAAAATCAGTGGAAGTGTCGCCACTGAACTGCTCAGATGACAAAAGGCACCGCCATGGTCCTGGCCAGTGCCTCGAGTGTGGGAGGAGGGACTGCAACCCTATTTAGAAGGCTCTCCGTCGTACCACGCTGGGCCACTTGTGTCCCTTTCTGCCCCCAGTGCACAGGGCATCATATGGCAAATGGTGACCAGTCAGTCCCAGGGCTTTGCTCCTGTGTGATATCCTCCCACTAAAATTCCACTGAGGTGCAAGAAACCGAGGTCTGAAACTGAAACGCTAACTTTGACACGGATGAATGGATTCGGAAATCCAAAGACTAAAAATTGGTTCATTGTGCAGAGGATAGTAGAGAACAAGCCACTTCATTTGATTGAAATCTATAACTGTTCTGGTATACAAACCTGGAGTTTTAGTAACTGTTTCATTAACTTCTCTCACTCCTTTACCTACAAGTAAAAAGACAAATTATCATTTTCAAAAACATTTTTTGAATAAGGTTGAAAAAATGTCAAGTCGAAGCAATTTTCCTTTCTCCAGATTGTCCTATGAATATTTATGAGATTTTACATATGAATATGGTATAGGTGTGCATTTAAACCCGTGTATCAGCAGCAGCACCTCCTGCGAGCTTGGGGGGCTGGCTCCGCAGAGAGCCGGGTGTGCCCTTGCAGCGCCTCCACGGAAGGTGCTACAACAGAGAGCCTTCAAAATGAGGGTGGCGCGGGCCATTGCTGACATCCTGCCAGCCGGCTGCCTCACCCTACAGGTGACGCCCCACAGGCAGAAGCTTGTCACGGCCCCCTGGCCTTCCCCACCCCGAGTGAAGGCTGACGCCGAACAGCATCAGTGTCTGTTCAGTGCCTGGCATGGCCTATACGTTAGATGTCATTTACAATATCTAAACTTTACAGATCCACATCAAACCTCTGCAGAGTGTTATGCTTCACAGCGTATATTCCTCTACTTCCAACAGGGAAGGGCAAGAGAAACATGTATGTGACAATCGCCTAACTTGAGAACTGTGACTAAATCAGCTCTGGGAGCCTGGAGCTGAAATCACCAGTCCTCTCCTACAGGGCCTGCTCACTTCAGAACCGTGTGTCGTCTCTGTTTGGGTGGAACCTGGGACGCTTCTGTCACACAATCTGACTTCAGCTCACTACGCTCATGCGTAAGCACACGAAGTGGTGAGTCATTAGTGCACCATCTCCATGCTAGAGGCTTTTGTAATTTAAAAAACAGAATCAACATCAAGAACACATGAGTTTATGTTCTGCCACCAAACAGCTTGTGGTCTTAAAAATGACACAGGTACTTTAATTTATATATTCTCAGATACTTGGTGATATTTATGTATCCATTTTCACTTTTAAGCAATACATTTTTGAAAATATATTTTATATTATTTTGTTTTAACTCAGAATGCTTTTCTTCAACCAAATGGCTTTCTCTTTGGCTTAATATGTGGATAGCATAGTCCAACACCACTTAGCTCTGCCCCACGCACCAGACACTGAACTGTATGCACACATAGATGGACCGTGTCCAGGCAGTGTGAGGACGGCCCCACCCCGTTCACTCATGAGTCTCACACCTGCCTGCTGCCCAAGGGCAGGTTACACTGGCCCCTGGCCTGGAAGGGTGTGCTTCCACACCTGGACCAGTGACTTACTTTTACATACGGGGGACTTCCCTGTCCACTTCATATCTGCTTTACATGTCCTGTGTTCAGATCCACCTGCAAGGAAAAACCCGGGGTGGCAGGTGTACACCAAAGTGTAGCCGAACGTGGGCAGATCGATGGCTCTGACGTCTGCGTGTGCTGGGGTTTCTGGCTGCCTGCAGGCGTGAGCTGCAAAAAACAGCATTTATTCCATTACAAAAGGCTGAGAACTCATTCATTCCAGTGTTAGTGTGTAAACTGAGCCTAAGGAATAAATACACTGAAAGAATTCAGCAATGGGTATGACGTTAATGATTTTATACACACATAGAATACACACAGTGATGTACAGAGATTCAAAATGGAGATCTTAGCTTAAAATAAACAGAACATGCTGATAAACAATCCAGACAAGCAGTCTGTTAAATGGACTTCAGGGGTCAGTCTTATCAGCTAACATCCAGGCAAAACGTTTTCAGATGGCCTTGATTTCCTTCAGGTGGCAACAAGTAAAGTCAGGGTTCAATTCGGTGAGCGGAAAAGCTTTCATGTGTACAAAACTGACATAATGTAGATTCTTTAAACACGTAATTTAGGAATAAAGGCCACTGCAATAGTTGTTTCATATCTCAATTTCACTCTTTATAAAGTTCCTATATATATATATATCTGAAATAAAGGACCTGGCAGATTTTTATAAAACAAGTTTATAATTTTAAAATGGTGAATGTAATTGCTTTTGTATTGTCAGTATTTTACCATTTAGCTACTTTTAAAATTTTCAATATAATGAGTTTCTAGGGAGCACTACATTGTATATGTAATATGTACATGCAGTGAGTGATGTAGAAATGACTTTGAAATATTACACAACTGATAATAACGATAAATACCCGAGAATCATAATTTTCTATTGAAATAATTATCTACCTACTAATCATTTTATGCTTACCATAGTAGAGGCACAATATTTCACTGAATTAATAGCAAGTGAAATGAATTATTGATTTACTAGCCATTGAAGCAAAACTTTTTCTTCTATGATTGAAATACAAAGTAAAATTTAATCTTTATTCAAATGATCAATTCTTACGAAGTTCAAATTTATAGCAAAAATTGCACTTTAAACATTTACTCTCCTGCTCCGATGTATCACATGACCCAGGAAGCACATGAGCAGGACAGTCAGAGCCTGCCCGGCCCTGAGCAGTTCCCCTGCTCGGAGTGCCCGGGTCAGCAAGTGGACTCCTGCACACCCAAGCCCAGAGTGAGGGTGCCGAGGACCAGTGTGTCCACCAAGCTGGGCCTTGCTGATGCTGCCATTCTAGGCACTGTACTTCAAGGAATACTCAACGTTTCAGCTTAGGAAACCAAACCCAAAGCAAACAGCCCTCCTGCCACCCTGGAGGTATGCACTTCCTCCCCCAGCTCCAGGCTCGCGTGGGCCCGCCTTACGTGAGCACTCCGTCTGCGTGCCACTCCAGGTGAGGTTGGCCAGGCAGGTCCTCGTGGTGGAGCCTTGGACGTGGTAGCCTTTCCTGCATCTGAAGAAGACGGTGCTGCCCACCTGTAGGGAGACCCAAGGGTGTCCAGGCCGGGGTGCAAGCTTGTGTGGTCCTCACTTCGCTCTCCGCGGACTAGGTGGGTCAGCGTACATGTTCTGGCCACGTGTTAGAGGTACTGCCTTACGCCACGCAGTTTGCATTTCTCTGCACTTTCAGAATTTTCTTTTCATTTTGTAGTGACTATCCATTTCTTTTTCCTTTTTTCTGTTGTTTACATTTCAGGCAGTTGGTAACTTATTAGACGATAACTTCTGCTGCTCTCCCCGGACTTCCCCAGCGCCTGCTGTCTAACCCACTATGCAGACTCCATCTTCCTGCTGCTTCAGATCTATGAAGTCTGTGTTGTGCTCTGAATGTCTGGGGTCCTCCCTGCTGGATCTTCCTGAGCTCTCCTTTGCTTCTCGGTTGTTTGTACCCCGCTTCTCTCTGCACCCCTCGCCGCTCTTCCAAGAAGGAATGTCCTACACTGCCCGGCACTGGCTGCTGCTGTCACCACGGTGAGCTGCAGTTGCCTGTGTGCTCTTTGCCTAAGTCCCTAACCTGGCAATACCTTCGAGGAGATTCCCAGTGCCCTGCAACATCTGTTTCAGAGAATGAGCTGTGGTCGGTCAGTGTTGAGGGCACCAAGTCATCCATTACCCTTCCCACCCGGAGCAGGGGAGCAGGCGAGGTGGACAGAAACTGCAGAACACAGCGAGGCAGCAAGGGCAGCCTCAGACCCAGGGGTGCTCTGCGAGACCCCACCATGGTGCCCCACAGCTTGCTGGGGACCCAGTGAGAGTCTAAGACTTGGGATCACCCTGTCCCTGCTCTGAGAATCCATGGGAGCTCCTTGCCTTCTCTGCGGTGCCTTCTCACAGCAACTCCAGCCTCCCTGGGATTTGGGGAGAACTGTTGCACAGCATGGGGAATGGTTGGGGCTGAATCACATGAACGATAACAGGATGGGCTGCTCCTGACAGTCCATGAAGAAGCAGAGACTTACAAGAAAAGACACTCAAATGCATCTCAGCTTCAGGTCAATAACCCACTGACACTCAGTGGTGAGTAAGGGTTGGGCTCCAGCTCCCCACCAAGGATGGCACCCACTAACCCTCCTTGGAAGAACACAGAGCCCTCATTTGGAAGCCCTGGGAACACAGGCACAGGGAGGCAGGGGGAGCCCCTTCCTCTTAGTGTGGGGGAGACCACAGCGCCCTTCCTGGTCAACTGCGGAGCCAGATCTCCTCTCACCCGAGAAAGGAGCCAAGTCCTTAACCTGGCTCCCTAACATCTCAGGACTGGGTGTTCCACACCAACCAGGCTTCCTCTGTGCGAGCAACACATGCACTCACCGCAGAGCAAAGGCCCCTTCAACACTGACTGGTATTGTAACAGAGAAAGAAACCTGCTGGGGAGCTGGCTGGGACTGAGTCCCTGCCCGTTACTCCATCCCCAAGCCTTCCTGTTGGGCTGCCATTCCTGACAGTGTAGTTTTATTTGTCACAAAGAGGCTGAGGGATTTTGCACCCCAACAGCAGCTCACAGTAGATACAGGACTCATCCCTGGGACAGGTGCACTAACTGTGAGCTGTGCACACTCAGGGGCACAGCATCGAGAAGGCGTGCTCAACTCTCAGCTTCTGAGTGAGTCTGTGAGAACAAATCCACATGGAGATTTGTCCAGTGTCCCTAGATATTCGCCATTAAATATTTATCTGCCATAAAGCATTTTCCTGAAACTTAAGGCCATATCTGAGATATAATACAAAATGGGCCAGATTCAACAAATCACTCGCCGTGAGAACTTCCTACAAGAGAAGCCAGCAGAGGTGTTAGGAAGTAGCAAAGTGCACCTGAACAGGTGAGACAGAAAAACGCTGGTGCTCTGAGAGAAGGGAGGAAGTGGCTGAGGGAGGGAGGTTTTGATTCTAAATTGACGGGATCCATACACTGAAAGGAGTACGCATATCCAACTTTGGCTTCAAAGCCACACTGCCAGAGAGCCCCAAGTTGCTGGATTATTAAAAATGGTTAGAACTCTGCATGTCAAGCTTCCTTACCTTTCATTTGTGAGCTTTTGTCCAGTATTAACTAGCTTTAATACACATTTATTAAAAGTCAAGTGCACAGTCCAAAGTGATATTCACATGCTGGGAATTCATGGCTCTGCCTTAGGAGGTCACATGCAGAACACAGATCACGTAAGCTTGACAGGAAGGACGGAAAAACCTCTCTCTCTCTCTCTCTCTCTCTCTCTCTCTCTCTCTCTCTCCCTCTCCCTCTCTCTCATCTCTGTAGAATTTAAATTTTATAATGTTTGCCCATTATATCTGTCTTTAAGTGGTGTCTTCTGTGTAGCTATTCAATAAGAAGTAATCCCAATTTGAGAACTGCCCTTTGAGTTCGACAGACAGAAAGTACATAAGCACGAATGCTTCCAAGTAGAAATTAAGGTAGCCACGGGGACAGTGGGGGTCAAGATGCACGTGATTATCCTGTTTGACAGGTCAAATACACGCAGAAATCCTCACGGGATGATTGTGGGCAAATATAACATGAAGAAGACACTACATATGAAAATCTACACATAGGCTTAAGTACCCACTCTACTTTATGTTTCTAATGAAACGCATGAAATAAAAGTGTAGTACCTCATATCCTCTAGAGCTATTCTGTATTCCAAAGCGTGGGCTTCCAGGATCCGGGCAGGTGTTATGTGCAGGATCTGAAATTCATAATCAAAACAAAGCATTGTAACATTTTTAGGAAAAGACCTTACAAAATTGGGAGAAATGTTTTGACAAATAAGCAAGATAATTTTCATAAATGTTACAAGTTAAAGTAAATTACTATTTTCATCTCTGCAGACATCTTCAGCAACTAATGCTTTGTGTTCATTGGGCTTTAAATACATTTGCACATACTTATCAATATGAGAATAAGTTGTTCTTTAAAATCCTTCTACCAGTAACTAGTTGGTTAATCTTGCAGTGCGATCAATAAACACCTACTATGATTTTCTGCCTCATAAAAATTTAATTAACGGTGGTCACAGTTGGCCATCCATGACATTATTCCCTATTTCCTGGATAAATTTTTCTCAAGATTTCAAAATGAGAGGAAGATTTAATGGTCCAAATGGATGTGCATGGTCTACAACAGGGACATTTCCCAAAACTCTAAGAACGTGAGCCAATGAGGACTGGCTGGACTACATTACTGCCGCTCCTAGCTGCTCAGAGAAAAACAAAAATGTAATTACTTAAAATTTATTTTCTAGAGCCACCAATCTATTGGAGGAAAATATTTTCAATACAGAGATGTCTACCATGGAACGGCAGTTTAAATCAATTGACAGCAAACATTCCTAAATTTTTAAAAAGGCTTCAATGAAATTATTTCTAATACTATATTTTTAAGCAGATATCATTTAATTTCTTAGAAAATAACCAAGGCTATGGACCATTATTCTTTACTATAAATTTGCAGCTCAGTAAATCTGGGTGATGTCAAGCAGCAAGACGAGTCTGCAGCAACAGAACAGCAGTCCACTTCTGGTGACAGTGGCTTTGAGGATGGTGCCGCCTGCGTCTGCTGACTGGTTGTGTCAGGACTTGAGACTCAGCTCCAGTCCGGTGTGCAGATTTAGGAGGCTGCCTGTCTGCTTACCTGGCCAGCACTGTCTCAGAGCAGCACCTTGCCCTGAACACTATCTGTGTCACCCTAAATGGTCCTACTTAGGAGTGAAATGTCCTTATACAGAAGTACCCTGAACGTGGTAGGGCTATGTCATCATCTGTTTAGGTTTATATCTAGATGTCCCAAAGCCTCACATGCTCATAGATGGGGCTTTGGGAGGTGACTGGATCACAGGGCGTGATACTCACCAGTGGTTTAGTCCACTGATGAGTTTATGAATTTATAGCTAAATGTGACCTGGGCGGTGAAGCCTGGTGGGAGGAGGTGGTCACTGGGGGTGTGGCCTGGAAGGATCTAGCTCCCTCCTGCTCCCTTGATCTCTCTGCTTCCTGTCTGCCATGCCATGAGCTATTTCTCCTCTGGTATGCCATGAGTCCCTCCACCATGCCATCCTGTCTTGAAGCCAGCCAACTATGAATTGAAACCTCCACAAACTGTGAGCCAAGATAAACCTCTCCTGCAGTTAGTGTCAAGTATTTTGTCCCAGCAACTAGAAAACAATCAAGACACCAACATTACCTATGCAGGTTGGCTGAATGCCGCTCCAGGTGCCATCTGCCTGGCAAGTTCTCCTCGATGACCCCACCAGTATGAAGGGCACCTTGCACTGGAAGAAGACCTCAGATCTGAACGTGAAGCTCTTCCCACTGATGCGTCCCTCTGCTGGGATTCCGGGGTCTCCACAGAACACAGCTGTGGGGATCAACAGGAAGAGCTCAGTGACGAGCATCCCTGCACTGCTCAAGCTACTGGACTTGGCAACTAGTTCTGTGGAATCTTCAGAGTTAACTACTAAACACAAGGAACCAAGAGGAAAGCATCAGCTCTGGGTGACACATACTCCAGTCAGATTTTACCTACAGGGCTGATTCAAATGTACAGCATGTGTTTAAACACAAAAGATTCTTAGTGTAAAGGACACATTGCCATTGGTCCTCTCAAATGACTTCCCTTTACGGTCAAGCACAGTTATCCCATCCTTCTCACCACTTTCTGAAGCAGTTCTGGAAGTCGTCCTTTGTGTGTTTATAAGGTGTGATCAAAAATATGGTGAATGCTGCTGCCAGGCCACATTGAACGGAAAGGAAGGGTCATAAAAACATCACAGTGGGAGGACCTTGGCTGGGTGGAGCAGGGCTCCCTCCTGCCCATATCCCACCCCCCAGCGACCAGCCAATTCATGTGGGCACCTGCAGCACCACCCCCCTGTACTCCTGGCTGTGCTGGCACCTGCTTCCACACTGCAGAGGCACAGGGGGTCATAAAGGCCATTGTCCTGAGCTCCAGAATACAGAGCAGAACTGAAAAACACAAAGAGGGCCTCTCTCAGGCTCTTTAATGAAAATTGAAAGCCACTGGAAAAGTGAAGAGAATATGCAATAAAGGCACACCAGAGCACCATACTTGGTAAGTTGGAGGCATCATCACCTCCCGTTGGAACCTGGACTATCCTCAGGGGAAGGGCAGCTGGAACTTGCAGTAGAACCTTGCAGAGGTCAACCCTGCAGGAGGACAGGGAGCTCAGCTTGGGACTTGCAGCCAGAAATCTGCCTGAATCTCACGGGTCTGTGACTGGCTTGCTGAGATTCATTTACTTATATCTGCACACTGCTGCCCACTTTGTCTATTGTGGCAGCAGAGACATACCCTGAAGGAGGCCCTTCATTTTTATCTTTTATTTGTTATTTTCAAAATTATTATTATTTTTTGCTCTTATTTTTAATTTTGAAGTTTTATTTTTTCTACACTTTTTGAATATTTCTTTTTTTTTCTCTTCTCTTTTCTCTCACTCTCTCATTCTCTCACTGTCCCACATTGTTCTTCATCTCCCTTTTTGTTCCTCTTCTGGCCCCAATTCAGATTTCTTCTTTATTTTTCTTTTCTTTTCTTTTTCCTTCTCTCAATTGTCATTAGTTTTAAAGGAAAGTAAATACAGTTTCTAGCCTCCCTATTGTGGTTAGGTTGTTCTGTTCTCATCTTTGTTCTTTTGTTCTGTCTTTTCCTCTTGTCTTCAACAGTTTCTTAGAGTTTGCATGATCTTCCTGTATCCTCTGGCCTCACTACTAACCTTTCCCTAACCTACATATCTATCCCTCCCTCCCCAACTCCTTCTAACTACCCATCCCAAAGAGTAAAGTTTCTAGATCGAAGAGTTTATTCACTATAAACATATGTTGGGGTGGTCCTCGATTTTTATTTAATTCACACAGTTAAAGGTGATAGATTAATAACTATCACAAATTGTCATTTTCTAAGCTGTGCTTGATGCTATGGTGTTGCTGATTGTATCACTTGGGCTAAGGTGTTGTCATTGATCTAATCAGTTGTCCTTCCTGGTATAATGAAAATGAGATCACCTCAGAGTCATTAGAGACTCAAAACCTAAAGACCAGATATATCTGGAAGACACCTCTGAGAAGCAATCATTCCACAAGGGTTCTAAACACAAGCAACAAAGATACAATAAGCAATTTTGAAGTATCAACCCAGGAGTTAAACCAAGGACAGTACCAAAAAGAAAAATGAGAGGACATTTAAGCAAGGCACAAACCCAGACTTCCACCTCACCAAAGGCAAATTCCGGGTGAAATGAGGTGGAAAAGTCTGATAATCAACCACCTGGACACCCTGAACTGATAGCACAGGAAATAACAAGACAGATGAATGAGGTTCTAGAAAAATTCAAAACAGAAATAATTTCCCAGATAACTGCAGAGATGGTGAGCAGAGTGAAAGACATGATTACAGGCTCTAGAAGAGAAACAGATAAAAAAATAGATGAGCTCAGGACCATGCTGGTAGCCATGAAAGCCCAGTATAAGAAAGAAATGGAAGGGGCCAGGGATTTAGCTCAGTGGTTCTGCCACCTGCCCTGCAAGTGCAAGGACCCGAGTTCGATCTCCGGTGCCAAAAAAATTTAAAAAAAAGAAAGAAAGAAGTGGAAACCATGATTCCCCAACATAGAAAAGACATGGAATCCAATTCAAAAAGATATCTAGGAGATTAAACCTCCATTGAAAGTATTCACAGCAGATTGAGCAAATGTGAAATAGAATATCAGATATAGAAGACAGGATTGGGGTTAGTGACCATGAAAACACAGATTTCTTGAAAATAGTAAGGGAACACAAGAAATCAATCTAGCAGCTGCTAGATGATGCAAAGAAGAATAATATAAGACTGATAGGAGTCCATGAAAAAGCAGGAGAAAGTACAAATGACAAAGAAAATCGGTCACAGAAGTAATAGTAGAAAACGTCCCAGGCAGAAGTAGAGAATTGGACATATAGATAAATGAGGCATATAGAACTCCAACTAGCCATGACGAAAAAAAAAAAAAACTTTACCTAGACATATAATGGTCAAGATCCCAGAAACCCAACAGAAGAACAAAATCCTACAAGGAGTTAGAGAAAAGAAAAAAATCACATACAAAGGAAAGCCCATCAGAATCACAGCAGACTTCTCAACACAAACTCTCAAGTCAAGGAGACCTTGGAGTGAAGTATTTCAAGCCCTAACAGAAAATAACTTCCAACCTAGACTGTTGTATTCTGCAAAATTATCTTTCAAAATTGACGGGGAAATTAGATACTTCCATGACAAAGAACACCTGAGAAATTTCATGAACACCAAACCAGTACTCCAAACAATTTTAAACATTATCCTAGAAAAAGACAATGAAGGTCACAACTCCCTGAGGCTCAAGAAAGCAAAGCGACCAGGCAAGGCTAGAAAGTAAAGGGAAAGGGGGAAAAATAAAAAATAAAAGTGCCAACAACAGCAAAATATCATGACAAGGATGAGTCCGTATCTACCAATTATAATCATCAACATTAATGGTCTCAAAACACCAATCAAAAGAAATAGACTGGCAGAATGGGTCAAGAAGCAAAATCCAAAAATATTCTGTATACCAGAAACACACCTAAATCAAAAAGAAATTCATATACTGAAAGTAAAATGATGGAAAACAGTTCTCCAAGAGACAGGAACCCAGAAAAGAGCAGGCATAGCAATCTTATTTGCAGACAAAGCAGATTTCAAACCAAAACTAATTAAGAGAGACAAAGATGGTTGTGAATGGAACAATCCAAGAGGAAGAGATAACAATCATAAATATATATGCACTAAATGCGAATGCCCCCAACTATACAAAACAAATATTAATGGACATGAAAAACCGAATAAGCACTAATGCAATTGCAGTAGGGGACCTCAATATTCTACTATGAGACAGATCATCTAGGAAAAACATCAAGACCAAAATTCTAGAACTTAACCAAGCTACTGAACAAATGGACTTAATAGATGTTTATAGTGTTCCACCTCATAAAATCAGAATATACATTCTTTTCAGTTGCACATGGGTCATTCTCCAAAATAGACCACATCCTAGCTCATAGGACATGTTTAAGTAAATGTAAAAAATTGAAGTTGCCCATTGTATATTATCAGACCATAGTGCAATAAAATTGGAGATCAATACCATAAGAAACAGCAAAACACCCACAAACACATGGAAATTGAATAATGCTCTACTGAACAACCAATGGGACACAGAGGAAATTAAAGGAGAAATTAGACAGTTTCTACAAGTAAATGGTAATGCCAGTACAACATACAGCAATCTATGTGACACAATGAAAGCAGTTTTCATCTGAAATTCATAGCAGTGAATGCCCATATTAGGAAAACAGAGGGAGCTCAAATAAACAATCTAATGCTGAACCTCAAGCTCCTAGCAAAAGAAGAACATGACAAACCCAAAACTCATACAAGAAAGGAAATTATAAAGATCAGAGCAAAAATCAATCCAATGGAGACTAAGAGAAAGATACCAAAAAATCAATGAATCAAAGAGTTGGTTTTTTGATAGAATAAATGAAATCGATAAACCTTTAGGCAACCTTATCAAATAAAGGAAAGAAAAGGCTCAAATACATGCAATTAAGAATGAAAAAGGTGATGTCCTAACAGATCCAGCAGAAATCCAGAGGATCATCCAACCCACTTTGAGAACCTGTACTCTAATAAAATGGAAAATACAGAAGAAATGGACAGATTCCTAGATACATATGAAATGCCAAAGTTAAATGAAGAAGATATAAAAATTCTAAACACCCCCATTACAATGAGCAAAATTGAAAACATAATTAAAAATTTACCAACAAAGAAAAAAGCCCAGGTCCTGATGGCTTCACTGATGATTCTGCAAGACAGAATTATCGGCACTACTGTTCAAACTCATCAATGAAATTGAAAGGGAAGCAATACTTCCAAGTTCATTTCTTGAAGTAAGTGTTACTTTGATTCCAAAACCAGGGAAAGACCCAACCAAAAAAGCGAACTACAGGACAATCTCTCGAATGAACATAGATGCAAAAATCCTCAACAAGTTAGTGGTAAACAGAATACAGAGGGTCATCAAGAAGATCATACACCCTGACCAAGTCGGATTTAT